CTTCCTCGGGACCCTGCGGCTTCCCTCGGGCCCGCCCTGCTGGAAGGAGAAGACGGGAGGAGGAGGGGCAGAGGCGAAGCGCGAGGCACACGACAGAACCGCCCGCGAGAATCGGCTCCGCTGACGCTGGCCGCGGTGGCCCGGTGGCCGACGCAACGAGACCCTGAACAGCAACGCTGCACGAGAAGGCACACGGTGAGCCGATCTCGACGTGCGCGTGCTTGCTGCGGGTGGTGGACGTGGTGGCACGGGCACGGCGCGGCACGCGGGCGCGGCACGCGCCCGCGCCCGCGCACCCGCACGCGGGAAGCGCACCCTCCGCAGGGAAGCGCGCGGGCACCGCACGGCGCGGCACGTGCTTCGCGCTTCGGGGCGCGGGCGCGGGCGCGGGCGCGGAGGAGGAGGAGGAGGAGGAGGAGGAGGAGGAGGAGGAGGAGGAGGAGGAGGGAGGAGGGAGGAGGGAGGAGGGAGGAGGGAGGAGGGAGGAGGGAGGAGGAAACAGGAAGCGGGAAGACGAGGAGGGAGGAGAAGGAGGAGGAGGAGGAGGAGGAGGAGGAGGAGGACGCGGGCACGGCACGCGCACGGCGCGCGGCAGGACCCGCACGGAAAGGCGCGCCTCTCGCAGCCCAGGGCGGCGGGCGCCGCACGGCACGCAGGCACGGCGCGGCGCGCGGGCGGCACGGTCTTCGTTTCCGAGGGCGCGGGCACGGCACTCGCACGGACGGCACGGCGTGCGGGCGGCGCGTGTGGCGCGTTCTTGTCGTGCACAGGGCAACCCTGCCGCATCCGCCGTCGGGGGGAGACGATTGACGTGAGCTGTCACTCCTGCCTGACACACTTCGCTCGCGAGCACGGTTTCGAAAAGTGGTATCGCCCGCCTGCTCGACAAGAAGCCTGTCCTTGTCGGTGATGCCCTTCTCGACGGCCATGTCTATCATCGCCATCTTCCTCCGAATCAGGTCCCTTTTCTTGTCAAGCTTCTTCATGATGATGCTGGCATCGTGACCCTCTACGAACCATTTGTCGACATCTTTGTTCAACTCTTCGAACCATTTTTCCAGGAGGCAACTTTCCGACTCTGCCGAACCATCTGGTCCCACCGCAGAATCGCCCATTATGGCTCCCTGCCGCAACGAAGCCACTGCGATCTGAGCCAGTGCGCCAGCGGGACAGAGTGGTGACATCCACAGAAAGCATCTCTGCAACGCTCCTCACAGCAAGCACCTGGCAGGCTGTCTTCATGACTGCACAGGGGCATTTGCCTGAGGACGATCATAGCTTCTGCCCTCTAAGGCGTATAGTGCCCTGTGTTGAAATGGGGGGGCCTGGACCTCTCTGGGGATAATGGGGTGGACCACATTTCCACAACGTTTCCGATCCGCCAACAAAGACGCCGCACGCACTTCACTCACACTAGGACATATAGTTGCAAACTCTGGGTCGCGGGCATCGACGTGAGACGCCAAGTCTGATGACATGGGCCGCACGGTGGTCGCCCCTGGGCACCACAGTTGGAGTCAAGTATGAACACATGTATTCGAGCTTCGTTATGTCGCCATCGTCTTCCCTCGTCCCTCCCTCCCTTCTCCCCTCCTTCCCTGCTAACCCCGTCAATTCCCCCCCCCTCGACAGTGACACATTCTGGGTACGACTCCCCTCTCTCCCTAACCCCGTCGGGGGTATACTCAGCCCTCTCCGAGTACTGTTGTACACGCAGGATTCCAAACACTGCGTGTAGCTAGGCGTTCATATTTCTCCTCTGAGAAGCTGGGCCTGAGACTTGGTCTGGCGGCTCTGTCGTCGCCGTCGTTGCCTCGTCGCCGCCTCGTCGCCGACCGTCGCTTTCCCCAAACAGCGCTTGCGTTCGGGGGTTCTTACTTCTTTTCTACAAGGGCTCCTAAGTTCGCGCTTCGCGCTGCGCGAAGCGCGAAGCGCGAATAACTTCGCGCTCTCGCGCCGCCCCCCAAGGGGGAGAATAGGAGGACGAGGAGGAGGAGGAGAAGGAACGAGGACCGCGAAGCGCGAAGCGCGAATAACTTCGCGCCCTCGAGGGAGCCCTTGTTTCTAAGGCGGTGGGCCTGCGATTTGGGCTGGCGGCCGCGTCGTCGTCGCCGTCGCCGCCCCGCCGTCGCCCGTCGTCTGGGCCCAAAAAACTCGGTTTCGCGGCTCTGTCGCCGCCCTCGCCGTCTTCGCCGCCCCGTTGCCGCCTCGTCGCCGCCCGACGTCAAGGCCCGAGACCTGGTCTGGCGGATCCGTCGTCGCGATCTCCGCCCCGTCGTCGCGTCGTCGGCGCCCGTCGTCGTCTCCAGAATCGCGTTTGCATTCGAGGGTTCTTACGCATTTTCTGAATAATCAGTGGGCCCTGCTGCGCATTGCGACCAAGTCGCCTGCGATGCAACGCGCCTCCTTTTCAGTTCTAAACTAATCATAAGATCCCCCCGGGACTTGACGGGTCCCTTTAGCGTATTGCAAGTTACAAACAATCTTACCCCATCGTCCATATTGAACAGGGTTCGCACTATTTTAACCAAACAGGTGTCATCCCCGCCATGTTTTGCAAAACACACTATGCACGCGCACTTGATTATCAAACCTCCCAAACTTCCAAGCACATCACTTTGCAACGCATGGGACGGGGTGTGCACGCGAACGCCGTCGCGCGCGACTGCCGAAATCCGTGGAAACCGTAGGTTGCGTAAGACTTTCCGGGTCGAGTGTTCCGAGGACAAATAAAACACATGGTTTTGCAACCCGAAGGTTTCAACAAAACCTGCACTCGAGCCCGTGCAGATTCTTAAGGCAATCTCATAGGCGGTTCAACATGTTCATCCGAATCTGCCAAACGCGCCTCTCGCGCGCGTCGGTCGAACTCGCTCGACATCCCTTTCGTGCGAGCTGTCGCGGTAACCTCTTGCAGCAACAGGGGCGAAATGCACGCGCGCGCGTCGTTGCGCGCGCCTGCGGAAACCCGTCAACTACCTTAGGTTCCGTATGCATTTCAAAATCGGCCGTCCCGAGAACATCCAACAACACATGGCGAAGCAACGCCCGATTTCAATAATGCCCGCGCTCGAGCTCACATTTTTCAACAAATTTACAACATTCTGCCAAACGGGTTTCCCGCGCCGCATGTCAGAATCATTCGAACGCCCTTGCGCGTGCTGGTGGGGGGGGGGGGGGCGCGATCCGTCTCAAAAAACACCGTGCGGGCCACTCTCGCGCGTCGGCTGCGCGCGCATGCCGTGCCCCTTCCAAAACCTGCACCACCGACGCGAGGACGCCGTCATCGCCGTCGGCGTGATCAGCATCGGCGCCGTCATGGGCATTGCCGTCGTCGTTTTCATCATCGCCACCCGCGTCGTTACTGCCATCATCGTGCCTGCCGTTGTCGACGTTGACATGACACCGCGCCCGCCCAAGCCGCCGCGTGGCTTTTGCAGACCAAGTTGCGGGTGGGTGGGTGGGTGGGATGGTTGCGCGGGCAGTGGCGTTTACAAATCACTGCGAACAGACACTCATGCCATTGCATGATTACACCTCAAGGGTTGCGCCACATATGTTACAAAACTTATGTTGCACAATGCAGTTTGCTCCGCACAGGTTGCACGGCAGACTTGTCTCCACAGATATTACATCATACGCTGTACCACACGCATTGCGTAACATCTGTCGCACAGCAAATACTGCATAACCAACCAGACCAAATATAGTACTCCACCTATCTTGCGCTAAATAAGTTGCACCGCGTATATTGCGCAACGTAGTTTGCGTTACGTATGTTGCACAACACACGTGGTCTACTATATATTGTGCACCATATACGACACCAATCAATGCGGGCACGCGATTCAGAAACACAACGCCAACAAAATACATTAGGAACGATACGAAAACAAACAAATCGCGGGGGGGGCGGGTAAGACACGAATAACCGCGCGCTCGCCGCGACGCTCCAGGGCACTCGGGGCCGCGCGCCGCCGCTCAAGGGCGCCTGGCGCGCGCGCGACGCCGCTTAAGGGCGCCTGGCGCGCGCGCGCCGCCGCTCTGGAGCAGGGAAAGGAAGGGGGGAGGAGAGGCAACCGACGAGGAGGAGAAGGGTGATAACCGGGAGGAGGAGGAGGAGGAGGAGGAGGAGGAGGAGGAGGAGGAGGAGGAGGAGGAGGAGGAGGAGGACGACAGAGGGCTCTTGGATGTGTGTTGTAATCTCGTGGGGCCGTTTGGGCCCCCCTTGGGGCCTCTTTCGAGTCTCTTGGGGGGCTCTTGGGGCCTTTAGGGGGTCCCTTGGGCGCCTTTTGGGCGCCTCTGGGGACCTCTCGTGGTCCTCATGAAGGGATCGGCTCGGTTCGGTTCGGTCCGGTTCTGCAGCCGGGTCGGTTTTGCTTGGCCGGTTCGGTTTGGCATCGGTCCGGTTTCGGCCGGTTCGGCTTGGGCCTGCCGCCGGTTCGGTTCAGTTCCGGTTTTCGCGCGGTTGGGTCCGACCGGTTCGGTTCGGTTCGAGTGGCCGCTCCGGTTCGGTTCGGCCCGACTGGTCAGGTGCGACGTTGGGCGCCCCGTCTGCGTAAGCGACGACCCAGTTTGAAAAAAAGGGAGGGAGGAGGAGGAGGATGAGGAGGAGGCGGAGGCGGAGGAGGGAGGAGGAGGACGACGAGGAGGAGAAGGAGGAGGAGGAGGAGGAGGAGGAGAAACGTGGAGGCGTGGAGGCGCGAGGCCCTCCAGCGACGTGCCCCGACGGGGGTCGCAGCCCCGAGGGGGGTCGCAGCCCCGAGGGGGGTCGCAGCCCCGAGGGGGGTCGCGCCCGCGAGGGGGGTCGCGCCCGCGAAGGGGGGTCGCGCCCGCGAGGGGGGTCGCACCCGCGAGGGGGGTCGCACCCGCGAGGGGGATCACAACCCGCGAGGGGGGTCGCACCCGCGAGGGGGGTCGCACCCGCGAGGGGGGTTGCACCCGCGAGGGGGGTCGCACCCGCCAGGGGGGTCACAGCCCGCGAGGGAGGTCGCAGCCCCGAGGGGGGTCACAGCCCGCGAGGGGGGTCGCACCCGCGAAGGGGGTCGCAGCCCGCGAAGGGGGTCGCACCCGCGAGGGAGGTCGCACCCGCGAGGGGGGTCGCAGCCCGCGAGGGGGGTCGCAGCCCGCGAGGGGGGTCGTAGCCCGCGAGGGGGGTTGCAGCCCCGAGGGGGGTCACAGCCCGCGAGGGGGGTCGCACCCGCGAGGGGGGTCACAGCCCGCGAGGGGGGTCGCACCCGCGAGGGGGGTCACAGCCCGCGAGGGGGGTCGCACCCGCGAGGGGGGTCGCACCCGCGAGGGGGGTCCTGCGGACTGAGGCACTGCGGGGATCTAAGCGAGACTCGCCGTCCCTGGGGGGCTGCGGTCTGCGACACTGTCGCCACTTTCGAGGGCTGCTGGTGGGTCCTGCGGACTGAGGCACCGCGGGATCTGAGCGAGACCTCGCCGTCCCTGGGGGGCTGCGATCTGCGACAGTGTTGCCACTTTCGAGGGCTGCTGGTGGGTCCTGCGGACTGAGGCACCGCGGGGATCTGAGCGAGACCTCGCCGTCCCTGGGGGGCTGCGATCTGCGACACTGTCGCCACTTTCGAGGGCTGCTGGTGGATCCTGCGGACTGAGGCACCGCGGGGATCTGAGCGAGACCTCGCCATCCCTGGGGGGGCTGCAGTCTGCGACACTGTCGCCACTTTCGAAGGCTGCTGGTGGATCCTGCGGGCTGAGGCACCGCGGGGATGTGAGCGAAACCTCGCCGTCCCTGGGGGGCTGCGATGTGCGAGGCTGTCGCCACTTTCGAGGGCTGCTGGTGGGTCCTGTGGACTGAGGCACCGCGGGGATCTGAGCGAGACTCGCCGTCCCTGGGGGGCTGCGACCTGCGACGCTGTCGCCACTTTCGAAGGCTGCTGGTGGGTCCTGCGGCATGAGAGGCCGCTGGGATCTGAGGTAGACCTCGCCGTCCCTGGCGGGCTGCGATCTGCGACAATCGTAATTTTCGAATGCTGCTGGTGGGTCCTGCGGACTGAAGCACCGCGGCGATCTGGGCGAGACCTCGCCGTCCCTGTGGGCCTGCTATCTGCGACACTGTCTCCCCTTTCGAATGCTGCTGGTGGGTCCTGCGGAATGAGGCACCGCGGGGATGTGAGCGAGACCTCGCCATCC